GTGCTCATTTTGTAAATTCTATAACTAAGCCAGAATAAGAAAGTTTTTTTTATTTTTCATAACCCCAGTTTTGATAATAGAATTCGAATATAAAATAAAAAGTATATGTCAATTTTTCACTCGTGACCGGTCTTTGGCAAGATACTCCATCGACTGGCGAAGTCTCTCTTAAGTTATTAAGTCTATTCTTGTATAAATGTCACCCACCGATGATTCCTACTTTTAATCCAGGTATTCGTCGGACTTCTGCCATTAATCTATGGCCACGTTGTTTTTCAACCGTGCCTTTTAGTTTATCTAATTCACGTCTAAAAAAACGAAAGGATAACTTTTTTTATCTGAAATACCCATACGTGGAGATGTGTCTCATTACTTTATTCTATTTGCAAGTGCAACAAAATGGCATGCGTGAGCGACGTGAACGGTTGTTAGAAGATTTGAACGAATACGTAATGAAACGAGAATATCTTGAAATCCACCTGGACAAAGTTTTTGAAACTGTATACTTTCTAAGCCTTCCGTTAAATCCGTTGGAGCAAATAGATCTTTTAACGGGGTTAATCCTGTAATAAGATCCATAGAAATCTAAAATGTAATAAAATGTATCATTCAGATTGCTAACGTGTGTGATCGCCATTATAAATCATCGTAAAAAATAAACCTTAAAACCAGTTTTTTTCTGTTTTAGAAAGAAGTAACATCCAAGTACAAAATTTAAATAACAGTAACGTAATGAGAATTTGCACCTGAATTAAGATTTATAAGAGGCGAATTTACTAAGCTCTCGTAGTAATCATTATTTTTTCGTTCATAGTATGAATGTATAAGAAAATAAGATGCTATATTCCGCACAGAAGACGTAGCTATTTTCATCAGATTAAAAACGCTCACTTAAAGCAAACTATATTTCCACACTTAAAAGACTAATGTTGTTGTTCAAAACACATTGTTCAAAAATTATTATTCTGTATTTTTTTCCTGAACACTGGCAGGTGTGCTGTTTTTCGAAAATAGATTACTGAACTAATACATTTTTTTGTTGAAGCAAGTAATTAATTAATAATTAACAAGTGATAAAAGCAGATGATCCGAAAATAGAGGCATTTAGTTGTGAAAAACATTTTTTAGTTAATAGCATTTCACAGAAGTAGAGATGTGCACGAGTACCGTTGTCGTACCCGCACCCAATCAGAAAATTCTTTTCCACCTGTATCCGACCCGTACCCGACTTATGCCTAAAACTTTTCTCCTTTTCGTTTTCCAGCTAAAACATTTTGTTTTTCGGCTGGAGCTGTTAAATTATCATTACGTTCTCAAGTAACTGTTTTTAGAACTTCTCATTTTGGCTAAAATCTTGTATTTTTCCACTAAAATTTTGGGGTTAAAAAACTAAAACCTTCCAATTCTCGGGTAAATTAATAAAAAACGGAACCCCTACCTGGCAACTTTGTGCCCGTATCCAACCTTCTGATCGGGTACGGGTTGCATATCTCTACACAAAAGACTTCCCAACGAACTCAGTCCACTCAAAATGGCCTGTTAACGACAAACAGCATCATTCGGGTTGCTAATCCTAAGCCGAAAACTGAAATCTACCCAAGACTTTAACAGAATCTTCTTCATAAATAAATCTTGAAAAACTTCTAATGAAGTTTTCGCTAAGTTTTGTCTAAGATAATTTTGTTCAAAATCTGGATAGGGCTTGTTTCAGAATCGCCCTGCCGTAGCTTAAAATATCTTGAACAAAAATCCTAAGAAGATCAGAAATGTTCTCTGACGAGAGAAGGTCCCCAAGTCCTACGCTAATTTTCGAATGCGATACATATACCAGTTTGTAGAGCTCGATGCACTGATTACAATGGCATAAAGCATTTTTCCCCATAAGCGTTATTTGAAGAGCCAAGTTGACTTTTGTATTTTGAAGGGTCACTCTGACATATGCATTGAGAGACTTGGATTTCAGGGATATTATAGTTTCAAGCGGTCGGCGTTGCACCGTCGGATACACCGCATTCAACTGTACTCATTGTTAA